GATTTTGTTTTTATGTTAAGAAAATGAAAATGGTATTAAAGTTAATGTACACTACCATTCACAGTTTGGGGTCAGTAATATTTTTTGTGAGAAAAATAATATTTGACCCTGCACCACAAAAGCAGTCTTAAGTCGCTGTGGTATATTTGTAGCGATAGCCAAAAATACATTGTATGGGTCAAAATTGTAGATTTTTCTTTTATGCCAAAAATCATTAGGATATTAAGTAAAGATCATGTTCCATGAAGATATTTTGTAAATTTCCTACTGTAAATATATTAAAACTTGATTTTTGATTAATAATATGCATTGTTAAGAACTTAATTTGGACAAATTTAAAGGAGATTTTCTCAATATTTAGATTTTTTTTTGCACCCTCAGATTCCAGATTTTCAAATAGTTGTATCTCGGCCAAATATTGTCCTATCCTAACAAACCATACATCAATGGAAAGCTTATTTATTCAGCTTCCAGGTGATGTATACATCTCAATTTCTAGAAATTGACCCTTATGATTGGTTTTGTGGTCCAGGGTCACATATGTTTATTTAGCAAGGACGCATTAATTTGATCAAAAGTGACAGTAAAGATTATGTATAATGTTACAAAAGATTTCTACTTTCTCAATTTGTTTTTACTTTCTATTCATCAAAGAATCTTGTATCAACATTTCCACAAAAGTGTTGCGCAACACAACTGTTTTCAACATAAAAATGTTTTTGATCATACAAGCAAATCAGCATATAAAAGAATGATTTCAGAAGAATCATGTGACACTAAAACGAAGTAAATTCATTTTTGCCATTATAATAATGAAAACTTTTTTTATGTGGTAATACATTTTCATAACATTACTGTTCTTGGTATATTTTTGATCAAATGCAGCCTTGGTGAGCACAAGAGTCTTTTTTAAAAGCATTAAAAAAAAAAAAAAATCTTACTGACCCCAAACTTCTGAATGTTTGGGTAATTCTGAATTATTCGGAATGCAAGAAGTGTTATTATACTGAGAGCAAGTACGTGAGACTAGGTATGTTTATGAGGAACTCAGAAAAGTGTGTGAAAAGGCACGATGCTTTCTTTGGAAATGTATCATAGGGTATTGCTCAAGTGAAAGGGTAGGTGGATGCCAGGGGCGAGTTTCCACTCAGCTTGACGACTTTGTTTAGCTCAGGGTTTGAGTGACAGGTGTCCGTCATACGGGCACACAAACACTGACCGCAGGACCACTTGTCCTTCTTTTCTATTGTTTTGATAGTATTTTGGCCTCCTCAAAAACAGTTGAATGGCTCAAATATGATCTCAAATAGCTGCTAGTTTTTGTTTCGGCAGCTAAGAATCAGTATTGTACCAAAGATTGAGAAATGTCTCAGAGAAATGTCAGAGTTAAGTCTAGTTGAGAACCCTGGGATAAGCAAAAGAATATGAGCCAATAGGTTAGATACACAATATATGATTATGTTTATGTATCTTGACATGAGACTTGCAGTGCAAAGTCCAGTGTATCAAATATTTTCAAATAAAACAATATGCACAAAACCACGTATTTAATGTAAAGTGTGCTTGTTTTTAATCTTGAATATATGGTATAGTTTTTAGTGTCCTCTAATACCTGTTATATGTGTTTGTTGATGATTCTTGCTAACAGTGTGTTTCTCACCATCTGTCTTTGTCTGTTTGGAGTCAGTCTAAGCCAGTCACAGTACTAACACAGCTTTTCTCTGTGAATACTCACCATTGTGGCATCAAGGAAAGGAGCGAGTGAATTTATAGCACTTCCTCCCCCTCTTCTCTCTGTGCAGTGAAATATTGTGCAAAGTGAAACATTATGTTCAGGCAGGAATAAAGAAGTGACTTATGTGATGTCTAAGATGTACATTATTTCTTCACTGCATTTTTTCCCGCATTTACTGCAAGCATTCAGCTGTCAGCGTTCCCCAGGTCTGTTCACCATCATGAAAGTAAAAGTGTTTTTCCTGTGTATGTTGTTAGACCAGTTGTGACCGAGAAGGAATGCATTTCTTTCGACTTAATGTATTTGTCGTGCAGTAACGCTGCAGGCATAGACACCAAATGTGTGAATTAGAATGACAGGTTTGTTCTTCGTATTTCTTCATCAGTTTTTTCATTAATATTAACCAGATTAACCATGCATTAACAATTTTATTTTTATTACAAAATACCATAGATATATTTGTAATGTACAATTTAGCAGGTTAATTGTCATTTCTAATTTAATTTTTTAAATTTAAATTTTTAATTTGTCCTTTCAGTAGCTTAGTTTTAATAGAGTTCAGTAGTCACTGTATAAAATGGAAGCTAGTGTTACCTAGTTTAAGTTTAGTTTTCCAATATATGTAGTTTTTGTTTTAGTTTTAGTATTTTAGGGCTGCCTAAGTTAATACATAATACCGATAACATTTAAACCATTTTCAGGGCTCGATATCTCAAATCTACCAACATTTTCATGTGTAATGAGGGCATGCTATAAACATATACAATACAAAAACAAACTATTTATTTATATATGTGACCCTGGACCACAAAACCAGTCGTAAGTCGCTGGGGTATTGACCCTTATGTCTGGTTTTGTGGTCAAGGGTCACATTTAAGTTATTTTATTTTTAAATCGTTTATTTTGTATTAGATTTTTTGTTTTCGTTATTTTGTGGTCACGCATTTTATTATTGAATTTTTCTTCCGTTTTTTTCCAAACACATTTTTATTTAATGAAAATGTTGTCATTTAGTTTTTGTGTTAAGTTTTGAAGGAATAGTTCACCCCAAAAATGAAAATTCTGACATTTTCATCAAAACACAAACGAAGATAATTTGAAGAAGAACCAAACAGTTGTCCCCAATGACTTCCATAGCAGGGAAAGAAATACTATGGTATTTCTTATAAGTCAGTGGGGACCATCAACTGTTTGATTTCCAGCATTTTTTAAAAATATCTTATGTTCAACATAAGAAAGAACCTTACAGGTTTGAAACAACATGAGGGTCAGTAAATGATTAGTTTTTGGGTGAACTATCCCTTTAATTTAGTTTTGGTTAAGAACTCTTGCGCACAAAGCATTTGCACAACAGCGTTTGAAGCACAACAAATGTCTCTTGTCAGCTTCTTAGCAGAGCACCTGGCTGGATTTTTTGGCAAAATTTGCTTGTGTCCTGGACTTGCTAGTTGTTGTGTTAGCCATGATTGCCACATCATTTAAATTTGTATTCCTCAGATTCTATTACGCACAGTAAGATTCACAACCAGCGTAAACACTCACAAACGGAGTTTGGCAGATTAGTGCAGTCTCAGAGTCTGCTTGTGGCTTTGTCTTGGCTGATGATCAGTCGGTGGAAACAGCATTAGGATTCTGCTGTTCGCTCCTGCCTCATTACACTGGAGACATGAATCAGCTGTTTGACGCCTCTCAAACCTGAGAGAGCGAAACCAAGCGCGCCAATAAACAGAAGAGACTAACTCAAAAAATGAGGAAGATTTCAAGAGAGAACACCTGGACATCTCTATGGAAAAGCTTCTCATACACTAACATACTTTCCTCTTTGAACTTTTCACCTCTTTTGAATGTTTGGTCTCAGACAGACATTACCCCAGTTACCGGGGCTGAGGCAACCACAGTCACCGCTGCAGATATTTATTAGCGGATCGTAATGACGGCCCTCCATGTTAGCCCTGACACTAAACACACTAAACAGCATAAATTACAGCTGGCCTTACAGTGGAAGCACTCTTTCAGAAACACGGTGCGATAAAAGGGTCATTTGTATTCTAGTCGCCCTGTCAAGTCTAACCACCCAACTTGGTAATTTAAGTCAGAATCAACATGAGTTTTTTTTCTGATGCCTAGTTTGTTCACAGTTATTATCAGAACGTTTATTCAGACTTCTAGTCTGAATCTTTCTGAAATGTGACCCTGGAGCACAAAACCAGTCATAAGTCGCACGGTTATGTTTGTAGCAATATCCAAAAATACATTGTATGGGTCAAAATGATCGATTTTTATTTTATGCCAAAAATCATTAGGATATTAAGTAAAGATCATGTTCCATGAAGATATTTTGTAAATTTCCTACCGTAAATATATCAAAACTTGATTTTTGATTAGTAATATGCATTGCTAAGTACTTCATTTGGACAAATTTAAAGGCGATTTTCTCAATATTTTTATTATTATTATTTTTTTTTTTGCACCCTCAGATTCCAGATCTTCAAATAGTTGTATCTCGGCCAAATATTGTCCTATCCTAACATCAATGAAAAGCTTATTTATTCAACTTTCAGATGATGTATAACTCTCAATTAAAAAAAAAATAATTACCCCTATACTGGTTTTGTGGTCCAGGGTCACATATGTATTTTTTGTAACACTTTAGGGACCAATTCTCACAATTAACTAGTTGCTTATTAGCATTCATATTACAAGCATATTGGCTGTTTATTAATACTTATAAAGCACATATTAAGGCCTTATTCTGCATGATCAAATTTTAGATCCCGTAAACCTATATTCTACCTAAACTTAACAACTACACTCTTAAAAATAAAGGTTCCAAAAGGGTGTTTTTGCAGCAATGCCATAGAAGAACAATTTTTGGTTCCCAAAAGAACCTTTCGGTGAACAGTTCCTAAAAGAACCATTTTGAAGAACATTTTAAAAATCTAAAGAACCTTTTTCGACTACAAAGAACCTTTTCTGCATTTGAAAGGTTCCATTATGTTCAAGGTTCTTCAAAGAACCACGGATGCCAATAAATAACCTTTATTTTTAAGAGTGTAACTATTAATAAGCAGCAAATCAGGAGTTTGTTGAGGCAAAAGTCATAGTTAATCGTTAGTTAATAGTGAGAATTGATGCCCAAACTAAAGTGTGACTGTTTTTTTTTTTGTTTCACACACCTGAAGCAATATGTTTAACTGTCTCAACAGCAAAAAATAAGCAACACATTAAGTGGAAATCATTCACGCAGACAAATATTTATCGCAATTTTTTATTGAATTTTGTAAGTGCCCATACTTATTACATTTTCTCTATATACTGATTAGTGTTTACATTTTAAATGTACCGATCAATAACTCTTCTTCATGCATAACAAGGCTATTTGTAGACTGGACAGAGAGACGTTCAGCCGCACAAGTCATGATCGCAGCAGTGGATGTTCTCCCCAGGTGTGCAGGACTCCTCACATGTGCGAGACAAAGAATGTGCTGGAAAAAGACATTCGTATTTTAAATACATCATTTATACATGTATAGAATTATATGTGCACACAAAAAGGTACAAAAGCTGTCAGCTTATTTAGTACCTAAAAGTATAAACACACAGTATATGTATAAAAAAAGAGTATATACAAATAAAATACACTATAATCTAATGTAGCCAATCATATTAAATACTATTTAATATAATATGTAACAATATTTAATAATAATTTTTAAGACATTTTTAACAGTGTATATGTGGCCTGCCGTTTTTTTAAGCTACAATCAATCTGCCTCTGTATCTGCATCTAAACAAGCCTCACTTATTTTAAAGAGGCACAGAGCTGTAGTTTTGCATAATAGTGACAGGATGAGGACATGTCTCGGCACGTACCGGTGGCCTCGGTCTTGCAGAAGTTGGCAGACGGGGGGCATTCGGTTCTGACCTTGCAGTCGTCGCCCACACAGGTGAAGCACTGGAGGGAGTGCACTGCACAGAGAATGACAGACAAACCACCACAAACAAATCATGAGCTACTGTGACACATACATGCTACTGTTGATGCTTTCGAACTTTTTCGGTGTAATTATGTTTAGCACAGTCATTTCAGGCAACATTACCATCCCTACTTCTCTCCTCATAGTTCTGAATTCCAATCCAATCATCAGTAATATAAATCTCAGGCAGGCCTCTGCGGTATCTGATATTCAGCAGTTAGAGATGTTAACTCACCAGTAGTGCTGCACACGAGCATCAGGACAAGAACGCAGACCAGAGCCTTCATGGTTTCAGCTTTAGCAAACTCCTTTTGAAGCAACAATACACAGCGTGTTCGAGAGTGTCTGGAAAACTGCAGGAGTGTCTTTGGTTATATAGTCTGCTTGCTAAAGTGAAACAGGTTATGTTGAGAGTACGGCATGATGGGTATGTTGCAGTACAGGTTGGGATAATTAAATACCTTGGGCCTAAATTATTGTTATTGGTTAGAAATTATATTAAATATCTGGTGCCTAAACGGCAATTTTTCACATTCAAGTTTTAAGTATTTTTAATGAAAATCTGGGGGGAAAAAAGACAAACACTATTGAAAAACAGTCCTCTAAAATAATCAAATATCTGCCATATTCAGCATTTTATTGCCACAGCAATAGAGAGACATAAGAAACTGTCCTGAGGTGATTTTCATTCTGAAAAATAAAATATTCTTTAGATGTTTTGTCAGATGAGGCAACTATGTGCCACGTACTGTATGTACAGTTTTTTCCTCGGGCAAAATTACGCAGTATATGAGTCTTCAGCCCTGTAGAAAAACAATCGAGATGTTTTCGGAATTTCAGCTGTAGCCGGAGGAGGAAATATTTCCAATCCATCATTCAATTCAATTCAAGTCAAGTTTATTTGTACAGCGCTTTTCACGATACAAATCATTGCAAAGCAACTTTACAGCAAAGTTTCAGGGTTGGCATCATCTGAGGTCCTCTGAGGGGTTGGCATCATCTCTTCTCAGGTGTTCTGGATCCAGACTGAAGCTTGTGTAAAAACAGAGAAACAAATAGAGACATAATTAGCGTAGCTGCTGTTCCAACCAAGTAAAATTAATTTGTTTAACCCAAGCTAAGGAATAATAATGTGCATTTGATCAGATATAACTGCAGTACAAGATTATGATATGCATTATTTGAATGCTTGGCCAAAGAGATGTGTCTTTAATCTAGATTTAAACAGAGAGAGTGTGTCTGAACCCCGAATGTTATCAGGAAGGCTATTCCAGAGTTTGGGAGCCAAATGCGAAAAAGCTCTACCTCCTTTAGTGGACTTTGCTATCCTAGGTACTACCAAAAGTCCAGAGTTTTGTGACCTTAGGGAGCGTGATGGATTGTAGCGTGATAGAAGGCTAGTTAGGTATGCAGGGGTTAAACCTTTTAGACCTTATAAGTAGTAATATTTTGTAACTGATACGGAACTTAATAGGTAGCCGGTGCAGAGACTGTAAAATTGGGGTAATATGATCATATTTTCTTGACCTGGTAAGGACTCTAGCCACTTCATTTTGGACTACCTGTAGCTTGTTTATTGAAGATGCAGGACAACCACCTAGCAGTGCATTACAATAGTCCAGTCTAGAGGTCATGAATGCATGAACTAGCTTTTCTGCATCAGGAACAGGTAACATGTTTCGTAACTTGGCAATGTTTCTAAGATAGAAGAATGCTGTTTTTGTAACATAGGAAATATGATTTTCAAAAGACAAGTTGCTATCTAATATAACACCCAGATATCTGGATACCAGATATCAAATATCATCAATGATATTTGTATCTGCTGTACTTCTAATGGCGCTACAGTTCACTAAAATAAAACTGATCTGAAAAGCCTTTTTTCTAAGTTGATTAAAATGTTTGTATGTGTGCATACATTATTTGATGTAAGATTCAATATTAAAATTATAATGCTCTTAACTTTCAGCAGATTTCAAACAGATCATTAATTTATGTAAAATGCTTTTGAGTTCACATGTTCAGAAATTTTGAAAGTAAACAGGTTTGGCTTGCTATGGAACTCAGGGCAGGAATGAGGAAAAAAGAAATATATCATTGCATTTCTACATTCCAGCTCTTATATGCAAATATGACATGTTTCTCTATCTTCACAGTTGTTATGTATACAGTATATATATATATATATATATATATATATATATTGTATATTACATATTTATACTATATAATATTATTTTGGTAACACTTTATTTAAACATAGTTATTTTAAATTGTAATAATATTTCTCAATATTACTATTTACTGTATTTTAAATCAAATTAATGCATCCTTAGCATTAGAGTGAGCATAAGAGACTTATTTCAAAAATAAAAAAAATGTGTTGATACTGACTTTTATAATGTAGTATACAAAAAAGCATGCTAGATATAGTAATATAATGCTTTCTAAATATACATTTACTTGGCAAAGGTTGTTCACAGTTTCATAAATTAATAGGTGGCACAGCTGAACCACTGACACATCTTACCCCATTCGTATATGTTGAGTTTATGCCCCATAATTAACTTCTAGTATCTTGCCCACTTTTCCTAATCAACCATCCATCATAGCCTGCATTCCCACTGGCTCTGACCGTCCATCCATAACAACCCTGCAGTCTGCTGGTCATCAGTGTTGGCTGCTGATGAGCTCATCTCCTACAAATCTGATTGGTGGGTGTGTTGTTTTCTGTCTGGCTGTGAGTCTAGTGCCCCAGTCTCTCCCTGGCCTTGATACACTCCTCTACTACTTTGTAGACTGCTGATGGGGCATGAGCCAAACCATTTATCAAAACCAGCTGTCCTTTATCTCTTGCATTTCAGCAATATATAGTATAAATATAATATATTTATACTCATTTTATAAATTTATTTGCAAAATGTCTGCGCTACACTAATAATTTCCCACATCTGTCAAATAAGCTTTTCAAGGCAAGATTTTCAGTAAATACTGACTCAGATTTCTTTGAGTTTCAAAGTCTTGGAATACAGCAGATGAGACATATTGTCAACTTTCATGATGCTTTGACCAGTGTTATTTTAGTATTATTTATGTACAATTATAGTATTTATTAATCATTTGAAATAGCTTTTTTTAGCTTTAGTAATTTTATGTAATTTATCATTTTTGTTAGCTTAAAATTCTTAAATTGTTCTATTTAGCTTAAATTAATTTTTATTTCAGTTTTAGTTGTAGTAGTTTTACTTAAACATTTATATACATATTTTAAATATATATTTATATTTATTTATTTATTTATTTTTTATCTTATTTCAATTTACAAGAATGATTTTTAATAGTTTTAATTAACAACAACACTGACTTTAAGTGCTTTTTTTGGAGCTTCCATTTACATTTTTACAGGCATTTTTCAAACGATCTTCTTTTGTGTGACATGAAGGTGAGTAAATGATGACTTAAATTTCGTTTTGAGTGAACTATTCCTTTAGTAGTTAACCAGAGTGAGTTGTATAAAGTTAAATGAGTCAGATCTTCTGGTTACTTGATTTTTCTGGTAAACAGATATGAATCAGTGGTGCTGAAAAGTGTGTGTGATGTTCCCAGATCAGCACAAAAGAGAGTGGCAGACTCCTTTTATAACGAAAAGTTACGTAATCACCCCAGTGTTCCATGACATAATTAAAATCCCTCTTGGAACGACAGGAAAAACTCTGAATTAACTCAGAACTCCAAATTAACTCAGAAAAGGTACAAAGCTTCACTTTTTCATGGGGTGAGACAGAACAGTCAGATATCAGTGCCATTACAGTCTGTCTCTGTGTGTATGTGTTCCAGCAGTGGCATGAATAGGATTTTCTCTGACTGACTGTGTGCACCCCACACCAGAGACACAGACAGAATAGAGTGAAAAGAGGCAGTCAGGAGACTGGGCGGACAAGCACAAACAATTCCGGGCTCACACACCCCCTGGCCTTTGCCCTCCCCATTGGACCCCCTCTCTCTCCCCTGCCTTCTCTATAAAAGCCCAAAGTTCACCCACACTCGATCTCATTTTCCTCTGGCATGGAGACCCAGCGAGCTTTCTCGTCCTACCGAAAGCGTTTCGGGACTTCGGGCGGCTCCCCGTCCGTGGGGGTCACCAGCCGCCTCAGCATGGGCCGCCTGTCCCTCCACAGCAGCCCGCGCCACCTCACCTCCAGCCCCATCACCCTGTCCACCTCGCGCCTGTCCCTGGGCGGAGAGCGGCTGGACTTCTCTGCGGACTCCCTGCTGAAGGCCCAGTACCGGGAGACGCGCACCAATGAGAAAGTGGAGATGATGGGGCTGAACGACCGCTTCGCCAGCTACATCGAGAAAGTGCGCTTCCTGGAGCAGCAGAACAAGATGCTGGTGGCGGAACTGAACCAGCTGAGAGGGAAGGAGCCCAGCCGTCTGGGGGACATCTACCAGGAGGAGCTGAGGGAGCTCCGTAGGCAGGTGGACGGCCTCAATGCTGGTAAAGCCAGACTGGAGATTGAAAGAGACAACCTGGCCTCAGACCTGGCTACTCTTAAACAGAGGTAAGGACAGATGTGTTGTGCCCCTTTAAAGTGCCCTCCCAGAGTTTGGAGCCAGGTGGATATTGAATGGAATGTTCCAAAATAAATAATTGTTTTTATTTTAGTCTGCACAAGAAGAATATACAGAGCAAGACTGTGTGGTTTAATATAGTCAAAGAAATGTTTTTGTTTCATTCAAAATTGCATAAACTTCGATCTTTAAAGTAACTTCTGTTGACATTACATTTACATTTATACAATTGGCAGACACGTCTATTTAAAGCGACTTGCACTGCATTCAAGCCAGTCAGATCATTTATCAGTTCCCTTTCAAAAATGAAAAGGAACCCAGTGAGAAACCAAAACCACCTTGATTTATTGGTGTCGTGATGAAAGCAACTGGCAACACAAAGTTAGAATCACTATAACCAACGTGTCAAAGTAAAATACAGTGTGAAAAAGGGTGTACTTGTGTATGAGTAGATGTGCCTAGCTGGTGTTGAGGTATCATACATTCCACTTCACACCAACAAGAACGCTAAGAGCAACAGGAGAACAATGTCACAAAAAAGGTCGATAGCCATATCCAAGAAATGCCATCCTGCCCTTAAGAACAGCTTTCATATGGGTAAAGAATCTCTTAAGAACTGCAACACCTCTGGCATTTTTCCACATCAGTACTATTGCCACAACTTCAATGTTACTATGTGAATTTATAGCACCCCAACTCTGTTTTCAATGAGAGGCTCCCCATTTCTTACTCTCATTCGATCCCATGCTGCCTCTCTTTTCATTCGCTGAGTGGTATGGGGGCAGGGAGGGGCACAATACCTCGGTACAGCTTCCACAAAGGCTGAACACTCCCAGTTCAGATGTCCTGTTGTTAGAGAAGAACCACATTTTTAGCCTAATTCCAAACCTTCATACCTTTACACTGACTGGAATCAGTAGCAACCGGCGTGTTTCCCATACCAGATCATTCAGAGACCAAATTTTATTCAAGATACAAAGCGAAAACATTTATAAGAATCTCTTAAAACAAAACTGACAGGAAAATGCATATATTTTTTTCAGTTACTAAACTTTATTTTATATAATGCAATTTTCTATTCAATTCACTGTTAATATCTATTGAAACATTTGTAACATTTATGTGAAATAAAACTGAAATCAGAAACCATGATAACAAAGTCAGTAACAAAAAGTAAATTTGCATTAGGACTAAGCTGTGAATCCAAATTCAAAGTGATTATTTTTTATGTACATGCATTGCCTTTATTTGCATGCTCAAAACTAGACACTGTTTGTTTGGAATTGTTGATATTGATGAATATTAGGTGTAGCTGCTCAGTTTAGCAGGGTGTGTATGAAAGGCAGTGCATCTACTCCACCCCGTGGGAAAGAGCAGTAGCTGCAGTGTGTGTGTGAGCAGTTAATGATGCATGAGTGATCCATTGAACCCTGTCCAGCCCCCAGCTGCAGGTCTCACCACACCATCATAGGTCACCTCCACTGTGAGCCTTTCATTACAACTGTCAAAACGGATTTATCATAAGTAACTATTTAGGATACACTTTGAGGGCAGGGATCACAGATAATATATTTTGACGTTATGGGGATTATGGGGAGTCAGGACTATAACCACTTGACTATAGACATGTCCTACCTGTATAAATATGTATATGTATAATATAAATACCTTTATAATGCAGTCTCTAATGCTGCTTTTATTCAATCAAGAAACTTTAAAAGTAAAAACAGTAATTTGAAATACTCCTACAATTTAAACATTTTAATGTTAATACATTTTAAAATGTAACGTATTCCTGTGATGAGAAAGCTGAATTTTCAGCATCCTTACTCCAGTCTTCAGTGTCACATGATCCTTCAGAAATAGGGTTGCAAAGGGGTGGAACATTTCTGGTAAATTTACGGAAACTTTCCAAAAGCTCCCGGAAGATTCCCAAAAATTTCCAAAATTTCTGGAATGTTTCCGAAATTTACTGGAAATGTTCCACTTTTTGCAACTCGATTCAGAAATCATTCTAATATGCTCAAGAAACATTTCTTATCAATGTTGAAAACAGTTGTGCTGCTTAATATTCTTGCTGAAACAGTGATAAATTGTTTTTCAGGACTCTTTGATGAAAAGAAAGTTCAAAAGAACAGCATTTGTTTACCGAATTATTTATTTGTAATAATGTAAAAGTCATACCGTCACTTTTGATCAATTTAACATCCTTGCTGAATAAAAAATATAAATTTCTATCAAAAAGTAATACAAAGAGTGAAACTACAGTATATGTGTGTGTGTGTGTGTGTGTATAAATTAATGCTTCAAAACAAAACAAAACGAACAAAAAACAATAAACATTATGACTTCCTAAATACATTTTCAAGAGGGGATATACTCTGGGAGTTCTTTGGGTCCCGCAAATCTTGAATATGTGGACTACTATTGGTTGTAGAAATTAGGGTAGAATCCTTCTTTTTAGATATGTTTTCTTATCCGTCCTCCAGACTTCATGATGAAACCGCCCAACGGCAAGCAGCAGAAAACAACCTCAACACCTTCAGACAAGTAAGGAGTACTCCATTCCCGTCTCATTCATCGATCATGAATAAGTTATCATTTTGCTGCCATGAATTTCACTTTTGATTCCAGGATGTGGATGAAGCAGCTCTGAACCGCGTACAGCTGGAGAGGAAGATTGATGCTCTACAGGATGAGATCAATTTCCTGAAGAAGGTCCATGAGGAGGTGTGTTATCCCTCCCACTCTCTCCACACTACCTCCATCTGTTCACTTCATCCCTGTCTCCTTTCATTTTGCTCCAACTGGCATCAAATCTGTTAATATAACCTGGCTATATGTAGCTATATCAGATTCTGATGTCTTTATCTGCCCAAACAGATTCAATTTTAATTCCTAAAGATCAGATTAAATCAGACGCCATTATATTCACCTGTAAACTTCTCTCTCTTTCATCCTTCTTCCGTGTTCGGTGTAGGAGATGCGGGAGCTGCAGGAGCAGCTGATGGCCCAACAGGTTCATGTGGATCTGGATGTGTCTAAGCCAGACTTAACCACTGCCCTGAAGGAGATCAGAGCTCAGTTTGAGGCCATGGCCACTTCCAATATGCAGGAGACTGAGGAGTGGTATCGCTCGAAGGTTACATAAACACACACACACACACACACATGCATTCTCTTCAGTGGATTTCTCTATTAGAAGATTTGAAGTGCAAAATTTTATTTGTAATATAATATAATATAATAAAATGTTTCTACACCTTTTTAAATAATAAATAAATAATAATTATTATTATTTATTCCATTAGTTTGCTGATCTGACTGATGCAGCCAACCGTAATTCAGAGGCTCTGAGACAAGCTAAGCAGGAGGCCAACGAGTATCGTCGACAGATTCAGGGCCTGACCTGTGACCTGGAATCTCTTCGTGGATCTGTAAGTATTCACCAAAAACTTATTCAGAACAACCATGACAACGACAAATTCAGCCATGATGATTGTAGAGCGCAGTACTTGACAGCAAAGTCATCATCCTCTCAAAACCATTTCAAACTTCTCACTCTGTCTTTAAGAACGAGTCCATGGAGCGTCAGCTGCGAGAGATGGAGGAGCGTTTCGCCATTGAGTCGGCCGGTTACCAGGACACTGTGGCCCATCTGGAGGATGAGATCCAGATGCTGAAGGAGGAGATGGCCAGACACTTGCAGGAGTACCAGGATCTGCTCAATGTAAAACTGGCTCTGGATATTGAAATTGCCACCTACAGGAAGCTGCTCGAAGGAGAGGAAAGCAGGTGATGACTGATGAGAGGAGAGAAATGGCATCAACCACAATAATTTGAGTAATTAGTTCAAATATGCATAAATGAATATCTTCCACCTCTTCTAGAATCACTGTTCCGGTGCAGAACTTCACCAACTTACAGTTTAGAGGTGAGTGATTCATCATCCAGTTGTTGATTTCTGCTTGAATTAAATGTCTCTATTTAATCAATTGTGTGTGTGTGTGTGTGTGTGTATTTTGTTAGACACCAGCTTGGACACTAAGCTGACTCCTGAGGCGCATGTGAAGAGGAGCATAGTTGTGCGAACCGTTGAGACTCGTGATGGAGAGGTAAACACTGGGAGGCGCTCTTCATCAACCTTTAAAAATAAAATACAAAAATTTATAAAATTAAAAAATTGACACCCAATTTACATGAATACACATCTACTTCATCATCAGCTGATGGCAACATTTTCTTTTCCAACAATCTCACAAAAGAATTAAAGGATCAATTCTTTCATTCAGTTTATTAATTAATTAATTCATTCTTTCATTCATTGCATTAAAGCAGAAATGCTCACAATTTTGGGCCAAAAATCAAACTTGATTGAGGACCATGGGCCAAAAGTAAATGCTTCATTACATCCCAAACTGCATTATTTTAGTAACACTTTACAATAAGGTCCCATTAATGGTAGTTAATAAAAATATTAAATAAAAACTATTCATTGTTAGTTCATGTTAATCCATTAAATAATATTAACAGAAAAACTTTTAATTTTAATATTGTATTTGTACATGTTGAAATTAACATTAACTAAGATTAATACATGGTTTAGAAGTATTTTTTGTGAGTTCACGACGTTAAAGGGATAGTTCACCCAAAAATGAAAGTTCTGTCATTAATTCCTTACCCTCATGTCGATCCAAACACATAAGGCCTTTGTTTATCTTTGGAACACAAATTAAGATATTTTTGATCAAATCCAAGAGCTTTCTGACCCTGCATAGATGTGTCGTGTACTCTTGTGAATGCGCATCGATTGACATGGAAGAGAAAAAATTGTTGAATAAAGTCAGAATTTTTGTTTTCTTTGGGCACCAAAAGTATTCTTGTAGCTTCATAAAATTACAGTTGAACCACTGATGTCACATGGACTATTTTAACGATGTCCTTACTACCTTATTACTAACTGATTTATACTTAGCTAACTATAGCCTTGGGCATCTCTGCATTACAGATTTGTTTATTTATCTTTTTATTTGTTCATTGTTTTCTGTTTGAACTAAAACTAACCTATGCAATCTCTCTTTCAAAGATCATTAAAGAGTCCACCACGGAGAGAAAGGATCTGCCGTAATCACTCTCAGACACTGGATCGGATGCAGCTGAAGAGTTCATCACTAATGCTTCTGGATGCTGTGATTAAACACGTGATTTCTTGCCCTGCTTATATTCTCTGCTAGTCTATATAGGTCCTGGGAATTATATTCAGTTATATTAGCCACTATAAGCAACAAGCAACTGCGTTTTGATCTCTTTCTCTCCCTGGGATTTTCTCTTTATCTGTCTTTATTTGTGGGAAAGAGTCTTTGAATGATATTAGACTAGTTTATCGCCGATTGTGCCATAAAAAGTCATGGTTGGACAGATGAAAGTAGAAAGCAGAACAAGATGTAGCTAGCGGTCAGAGCGGGTGCACGGGGAATATAGTTTTTTGTCAAGCACAAACTGTAGAGAATACATTCTGAAATGTATTGTAGTCTTTAAGTACTAGATGAAGAAGAGCAGGATTGGAAGTTTTTGAATCTAAATGGTCAGTGTTAATGTATGGCAGAAGGAAACTATAACAGAAAGGTCTTTCTGATGGTTTTAAAGGAAGGATGGATTTTTTCAGCGGTGCTATGTGAACATTTTACCCCACATTTTCTCTCTTTCACTGTGTATACACAAAGTGTTTGCACAGTAGCTAACTAAAGCATCTCTATGGACCCAGGTTTAAATGCTTTAAAATGCGTGTTGACTGTTAATTGACCTGTAGAAAACATATTAATAGTCAATTTTAATCAACAAAAAACAATATCTTACTGAACTCATTTAGTAAACATCTGACATATTGTCTTAAGGTGCAGTCTTATCTACCATTGATCGATGACATTTTGGCGAATTCCAATCATTTCATTAGGAATTTGTGTGATCTGGAGTTGCATGCAGATTGCGCTCATGTTCAAGTTTGCAACATGAATTCACTGCGCTGACCAACAGGAAGCTGCTTGGTTTGAAAGTGACTTCTGTTTGACCTTCATACATCTCCAAACTATTGAAAATAGACATTTTTGCATGCAAAATTTGGCTAATGTGACTGTACATTTACTAAAAACTCATACTGCCAGGTAACACTCAGTTATATTTTCAGCTGAGGAGGGCTAACTTTCACACTACTGCTGCATACCGAATTGGACGTCACTTTATTGTGGTGTCTAATATTGATACTAATAAATAATTTTTATTTGGTAGCATGTGTTCTGTTTATGAGCTTATCCACCTTATTTTGCAAATCGGAAGTAAGCTATTTTCTGTGAATGTGCGAGACGTCCGATTAGAAGGATGACAACTAAAAGAATAGCCAAATGCAGCAAACAGTAAAACTTTTTGTGCTACAAACCAGTGTGTTTATGATTACAATAATAAAGTTTGCAATATGAAGCAACATAACTGTTTTTGTAAGGCTAGATTAAGTAAAAAGCAGATGGTACAGGAAGCACATTCAAGTTACAAATGGCCACATCCGCTCTTATGTTAAAAATAAGGTGGATAAAAGAGGACTTCTCAACACAAGCACATCGGCATTGCAGCTGATGCATTCTGACTTAAAACTGAACGAAATAAGAAGTGACAGTGATCTTCTGTCACATGTGAACATGTCAAGGGGGCAGAAGGTTTGAGTGACAGGTATGTGTGACAGGGTCACAGATAGGGTGCGGATCCCACGCTTGGTTAGAGGGAATTACACACACTGTCTTTGTCAGGGTATGTTGAAAGGGCAGATAAGTTACTGTAGAACTAGGTTTGCTCCTATATAAGGTTTCTTTGCCCTGGATATCAAGATAATGAATCCCTCCTAGGTAGAGCAAGTGTAATGAAATTCAAAGACAAAGAACATTCTCGCCCTGAAATCTTTTCACAGGTTTACAAAAGTGAAATCTCTCACTCTCAGGTACATAACGACATCTTAGGGACCACACACTCATTCTAAGTCTAAAAAGGGCAGTATGATATACGTAATATTCAACATTTAGTGGCAGAAGTGAGAATTTATATTATAAATACAGCACTCATTTCATTACTTGCAATATCATTGAATATTCAGGGGTCAAATGATTCTTAATGATGTGAAAATGAAGGCAATGAGATTACAATGCAAGGTGATAGCATTCTGAACAAAGCATTCTGTAAAGAAATGGCTCTTCTAACATGAAAAAAGAACACTTTAACATTGCATTCTTCTTGTCGTCAAACTGCATTGGGTAAGCTAAATTATCTAATAGTAACCTATAAAAATTAGATGCACCAACATGGAACTTGAAGTTCAGTATGTGGGTCAAAGTCATGTTGATTCAGTAGCCGATCTGAGAGTCTGTCTTTTCAAACGCTTCATTAAAATAACCGTCTAAAAAGAGTAATTCGTTTGCAAATTGTGCTGCATAGGCCACACTGTTTATTTGTTTTTGCATGCCACTCTTGTTCCTCTGTTAGAAAGTTGTAGAAACACAATTGTTAGAGCAAATTAAAATGAAAAAATACTGTTTGTCTCCTACACTATATACCTCTTTAGAAGTTAATATTGCTATAATTTACTTTCACATTCCAAACTCAGAAATGTAAAAAGGGTACATTCTCACACTTTCTGTGACCCACAGTTTGAAAACCACTGTTCTAAAAGAATGGACAGAAACAGATTTTAATGGTTCAGACCCCATGTGTATATTGAAAACCTAGTATGCTGAGAAATATGACTTTCCACAACATGTCCCTGGCGAAATCTGGGAAAAAAATTTTTTTGTGCCAGCTGGGTAGATATTCTCAAAAAAACACTGTGCCAACAAATGTCCTAATCAAAACTCATGAAATAAAATGTCATTTCAGAACATCAAACTTTGAGGTCACTAAAACATTTCACAGCAATGCTAGACATTCACGGAGGGGGGCATTGAGTTGACAGAACTCGGCTTGAGTTGAGTCCTATGTGAAGAAATTGGGGCATATTGGATGAGTCATTTGGAGCGTGGCAACTCTGGAACAAGGGCAACTGAGAGACATAATTATATGCTGTCCTCACTGATGCACTTTAAAGAAGTGTTAAAGGCAAACAACATCTTAGATATCTGGAAAGGAGTACTTAGAACAATGTGTGATGCATAGTCTGATAGCATCTGGATGTTTAACTGGTTCCAAGTTAAACACTGCACCAAGAAATAAATCATTAGGCAGCTTGACTTATTTCTGGATCCAAGGATAATATGGGCATGAGAAACTCAGTAGAAAGTCCCTGCAGTACACTCTGCAGTACAAAATAAAGGTTCCACAAGGTGGGGTTTGTAAAGATGCGATAGAAGAACCAATCTGGGTTCCTCAAAAATTTCAGTGAACGGTTCTTAAAAGAAATAGAATATAAAGAATATCGGAAAAACCTTTTTCCACTATAAAGAACCTTCTGCACAATGGAAAGGTTCCATGGATGTTAAATATTCTTCATGGAACCATAGATGAGAGAGAGAGAGATCACGATGTTATTTAGGCTGATGAAGAGTGTTTATATTGCAACGTTTCTATCATACTTCATATGGCAAAGCTAAGTAATTTAATGGTGCATATGACTTCAGTGAGCTCATAAAGCTCAATTCATTTTTAATGCACAAAAATGAGTGAACAGTATCACCATATAGAAAACCAGTGAGTGATGTTGATTAATGACACGGAGATGGTTTTTATTTGTAATAGACACACTGACTAACAAATAGGTGGATGACTTTTCAAGTCACAATCAATAACCAGACACATACACACTTTTCAGCTACTTTAACTTTGTGTGTGCACAGGATTGAAAGAGAACCATGATTAGTTTCTTTTATGTTGGAATTACCTACTATGTTGTGTTTATGCAGGCTTGTTTAGAATGTAAAACAAGAGACTAATTATATTATAAAGATATTTATAAATTCAACTATAGAAATCCATTGCAAATTATGTATTGTAGGCTATTTTAATTTTTTTCCCCCACTTATAGGCCTATTTGTCTTTCCAGAAATGGGAGGTGTTGGTAGTGTTATTTGTTTGTATTTTATCTTTGAACCTCTTGAATTTTCTTTTATCTAACTTTAGGGCTGTACCATGTTCCATGCAATGTTTTCCACTATATCTACTTACTGGACGCATTTGATATCATGCCTATATATCATTGGCAGTAAGATTTTAAATCTTAATTTTTGATTAGTGCATTGCTAAGAACTTAATTTGGACAAATTTAAAGGTAATTTTCTCAATATTTAGAATTTTTTTCAGATTCCAGATTTTCACATATTTGAATAGACAAATATTGTCCTATCCTAACAAACCATAAACAAGCTTATTTATTCAGCTTTCAGATTATTTACAAATCTCAGTTTCAAAAAATTTACCCTTATGATTGGTTTTGTGGTCCATGAACATGGTCACACACACACATACACACACACACACACACACACACACACACACACTGTGGCACTGTTGTACATTTCTAAATACCTTAAATGTAAATGCTACTACGACAGTTAAAGGTTGCCTACTCTACTGCTGTGTCTAGTGGAAATGTTGTGCTCGTTTGTGGACTGTATCCCACTAGGACATACCTTTCAGAGCGATAAACGCTCTCTGTGAGAGAGAGAGAGAGAGAGAGAGAGAGAGAGAGAGAGAGAGAGAGAGCATCTGCCTTCTGTCAAATGTGACAGCTGTGTCCACTGCCTCCCCTGTGAACTCAACGTACGATTATTCCACAATGCGCTACATCAGCCGAGCCGCACGCTGCCTCTGAGGTGTCGGGCGTCTCTGTGCTGTCTTTGGTTGTTCTTCTACAGGGAGCACGTCAGTGCGTTACCGTTTCATCTGACGGCGCGAGAGTTTCGAGTCTCAAAACTGCAAGGCATTTGCTTCCATTCAAAGGCGCTTTCTTTTCATTTGCATTTCAACTCGGCGACTTTTCACTTTCTCGAGGATCCTACTGGCATTCTCGTGTCATTTTTGTTTAATTCTTGGACTATAAACACTTGTTTCCTTCACAATGCGTCTTCTAGATTGTGTTCTTTTGTCTTGCTCGCTCGTCCTTGAATAAGAGAGAAAACCACAATTTTCAAGAACTCTTGAATCTGTCCACGCGTGAAAATGCCTGTACGCCGGGGACACGTCGCTCTCCAGAACACCTATCTGGACACCATCATCAGGAAATTCGACGGACAAAGTGAGTTTCAGAACTTTTTATTTTTCTTTGGGTTGGAAGATCATTTATAGGCCAGAAACATGCTACTGTAGTCTAAAACAGTAGATATAGTATTGTTCATTGATAAATCGGGGAGAAACTGTCAGAGAGCGGCCATTGGAAGTGTGGAGGGCAGTCATGTGTAGTAGCCTATCAACCAGTCTGAGATTTGATTTGCATGGCAGTTGATCATCAGGTGAGAGCAAATCAACGGATCCGGCTGATTTGATCTACATTATGCAAATGCAATAGAACAACTAATGTAGGCTATCCCTAATATGGAAAATTGCTAACAACCATCTGTCCTTCTGTTTTTCCATTCTTCTCTGTAGCCTATGTGTGCGAGCGTGCACGCTTGTGTTTATGTATCTCGTGCACCTGCTTTGTTCATTCAATCATGTTTCCTGATTTAACGTTTTGGGGAAAAAATGTGCATCACACATAATTACATAACCTTAAGATCAGTAATATCAGTTTTCATTTCCAGTGTGTACTATTTCACCACATTTATCCTGTATGCATAAACCTTTGTGCTCTCTATTTAATAGTCTACAGGAAGAAGTATTTTATCAGAACATTTCCAAATTTTATGCACAAGAGCCCTTTGACAAAATTTCCTTTCCAAATCCTATCCTTTACTCTCACGCTAAACTTAATCTGTAAACTTGCCATAACTAGGCCTACCCTAAATCTAGTCTTACTCCACAATAAACCCAGAGCCTGGCTTATATCTGCTTTATATGACCCTTGAGGGTTCTTAAATAACAAAGATTATGTTATCTTAGTAAAAGTTTCTTTCAAACAACTGTAAATACAGGTTTTAGCAGGGGTTTTAAACGTCTCATTAATTATACAAGTTAGTCAGTAAGTATACGTTTTTCGGCAAACAGTTGCTAACTAGTAGCTGTAAGGAGCTAACCATAACAACAGTAAGCTGCTCGAGTGATTTTTATTTGGAGGGTGGTCTGTCCATAAAGCAGAACAAAATAGGCTAGTATTGTTTTTATGTGCCACTTTATTATAGATTTATTTATCACAAATATGTGAGAGGAATCTTTAGTGTTTTGTTTCATAATTGGTGGCGTTAATGGTGACAATTTGCAGTCCTATAATTTGCATTGCATGAAACGAACAGATTTCGTCCCTGAAAATTAACTTTACATTTACATATTATAAATATTTATTTAAAAAAAAAAATCTTAAAAATGCTAAAAACAAACAACAACTATAGGCCTAGTTGTCATTACAATATGCCTTTTAATCATGACTGTTGCTTTGTCTTTGTTCCTGTGTACACTATTCATAAATCATAGTAGTTGACTTTTGAACTCTCAAAAATATGTAAAAGAGCCTTTTTTAAAACTAGTTTTGTATTCTTTAGTTTCATAACTGTAGACTGCACATCTAATCATTTGTCATAGTATCTTCTCCCTCTTCTGCGTGTATTAGTTCTCAGTGCTATTGCTGTGTCTTCATCTTTTAAGTACACATGCATGTATATATGTGCCAGTGCATATAGATCTGTGAACGTGAGCCTGCTGCTCCTCCCTTCCCTCCCTATCTGTTAAGGCTAAGTGTCATTTTGTGGCTGCTAGGCAACCATCTCCGTGTGTTGTGTTTTGTTCCTGAAGTAAAAAGGCAATAATGAGTTTGATGCTGGGGGCCTGTTCCTGTCACCAAACACAATTATCACGTAGAGCTGGAGAAACATTATTGATATTCAGAGATAAAAGCAGGCAGTGTGTGTCCTTGAAGGATTGCACCCTTTAATATAAAGAATTTTTCATTTGCTTTCTCTTCAGTTCAAAGCAGAACCTATAACCGTCTTAAGAGCAAGCTGTGTTGCTCTCCACCTGTTGAAGCTGATGTGTGAAGCTATTGCTGCAAAAATAGCACAGCTGTCTGCAGATTTCCTGTTTATATCAAAGCAGTCCTCATGAATACAGAAAATGAGTAGTAGTACCGTACAGGCAAAGGAAGGAGAAGGAAAGAAAAGAAAGACATAAAACAGAATAGCCAAGTATGTGGAAATGTGATTAAGGGTTTTTTCTTTTAATCTTTTAAACCTGTAGAAAAAAAAAGGAGACAGTTGGATTTTGAAAAATTGAGAAATGAGAAAAGTTACTACATAAAACTTTCTGAAAGTCACTAAAGATTTTAATGAAAATCATTTAGAAGAGTTTTCATCAGTGATCTCACACTTTTAGGTTTAACCCAACTACGCCTCTATTGAGGAGAACAGGGCTAGTCGACAGGGAAGAAAATTAGTAGTTATACATTTATTATTATTAATAAATAACAACAACAACAATACCAACATTTATAGTAATAATAATAATAAGATGATTTGTTGGCTAAAACAATGGTTTATACAGTGGGTACGGAAAGTATTCAGACCCCCTTAAATTTTTCACTCTTTGTTATATTGCAGCCATTTGCTAAAATCATTTAAGTTAATTTTTTTTCCTCATTAATGTACACACAGCACCCCATATTGACAGAAAAACACAGAATTGTTGACAATTGTGACAGCTTACTCCATAGACCGATAATGTGACAACATTCCCCACAAAAACTGTGTTAAAGGATTGGTTCACTTCCAGAATGAAAATATCCTGATAATTTACTCACCCCCATGTTATCCAAGATGTTCATGTCTTTCTTTCTTCGGTCAAAAAGAAATTATGTTTTTTTAGGAAAACAATCCAGGATTTATCTTCATATAATGGACTTCAATGGAGGCCAATGGGTTGAAGGTCTAAATAGCAGTTTCAATGCAGCTTTAAAAAGGGCTCTACATGATCTCAGCCCAGGAATGAGGGTCTTATCTAGCGAAACGACTTTCTTTGACTTTCTTTGCATGTTCGCTTTGTAAACAGTGGGTTGGTGGTACTTCCTTTCCAACGTGATTACGTAATCCGTGAGGTCAAGCTAGCGCAAGACGAGCATTTGTGTTTTTTGTTTTTTTAAGAAAATGAGCGATCGTTTCGCTAGATTAGACCCTTATTCCTGGGCTGGGATCATGTAGAGCCCTTTGAAGCTGCATTGAAACTGCAATTTGGACCTTCAACCCATTGGCCGCCACTGAAATCCATTATATGTAGAAAAATCCTGGAATATTTTTCTTTAAAAACCTTAATTTATTTTCGACTGAAGAATGTAAGACATGAACATCTTGGATGACATGGGGGTGAGTAATTTATAAGGAAATTTTCATTCTGGAAGTGAACTAATCCTTTAAATAATGTTTTTTTTCACAGTAACGGTGGAAGTGTTCATTTTTAATTAATGTTTCTTAACCCTTCGTTCCTTACGGGACCAGATCGTAAATTCCTGATTGCCAACGCCCAGATGAAGAACTGTGGGATCATCTACTGCAATGAGGGCTTCTGCCAGATGTTTGGTTTCTCACGGGCAGAGATCATGCAGCAGTCCTGCATGTGTCAGTTCCTGGTGGGGCCGGGCACTATGAAGAGCGCCCTGGCACAGCTGGCACAGGCCCTGCTCGGGTCAGAGGAGCGCAAGGTGGAGATCCTGTACTACTCTAAGGAAGGTATGCTGGGCTTAGCGAGGTTTTCACTCACTTTTCACTCACCCACATATGGCTGATGTTTTGATAGACTTGAGCAGATGCAAAATTTTCTGTTTTTCACCATCTCTTTCCACGCTGACAGCTACTTTCAGTTGTATGAGAAAGTGGTTTGGCATTGTGCTGACGTTCACATCATTACTATAGCAACCGATGCAGATACACCAGACACTGATGACACTGTCTGAACAGCGCATTTCACTTCAACAATAATTAACACGGTATGGAAAACAAAATCAGAATTGTGCAGTGTGAATAAAACATAAATGAAGTTTGAGTCTATTGACAAACCCAAACACAGGAAATAAACCAGTTTCAAACTATATCCCATGTCTTTAATATGGCAGCTGTATGAATAAAAGTCCACCTTTTCATTAAAAACAAAATGTCTTTTTGACACCACCTTTCCATCTATTTATTTATTTCCATCTTTTCATTGTTTGTTTTCTCCAGAGTATGCATGTGCATTAGCTGGAGTTTGTAAGTCAATTTGAAAAGCTTTTTGTTGTCAGATTTTAAATATATAATTTAAATTTAATCTTTTAGAGTTTTCACCCCTTTTAAGTATTTTTGGCAGTAAAAACATTTATAATGTTTCCACAAAAATATTAAGCAGCACAACTGTTTTCAACATTTGTTGTAGAAATGTTTCAGTAGAATGTTTCTTGAGCAAATATTCATTTGAATGATTTCTGAAGGATCATGTGGCGCTCAAGAAGAGTAATGACTGCTAAAAATTCAATTTTGCTTTACAGGAATAAATAGCATAAAATATATGAAATAAATAGAAAACTGTTATTTTTAAGAAATCATACAAACTCTTTAACAGTAGTGTACATAGAAAAAGCTTCCCAGAGATGTTTCCAATATGACTTGCCTAACAGGAGCTTAGAAGCAGGTTTTTATTGAGAACTTTTGAATAGTTACCAGCATTTCACGGTAAACACACTCAGTGACCATATCTACACATCATCCTGTGATGTTATCTTCAGTTTCAGACACTCTGTTTCATTACATTCACACATAGACATAAACACATAGAGTAACTCTTTGGTGGAATGGCTTAAAGGGATAGTTCACCCAAAAATGACAATTCTGTCATTAATTACTCAGCCTCATGTCGTTCCAAACCCGTAAGACCTTTCATCTTTGGAACCCAAATTAAGATATTTTTGATGAAATCCGAGAACTTTCTGACCCTGCATAGACAGCAACTCAACTACCACGTTGAAGGCCCAGAAAGGTAGTAAGGACATCATTAAAATAGTCCATGTGACATTAGCGGTTCAATCGTAATGTATGGACGTCGTTAAGCCAGTGTTTGTGCTTGTGTAGCTCAGCTAGAAAGTAGACAGGTGTTCCTTCGACCCAGGAAGCGGTGCGCTGATAACATTACCATGACAACAGGACTCCAGAGACTCACACGCCTATCACTAAACGAATGCACTGAGCTCAGATGCACGCATAGGCTGACATGCACACGCTCACACGTGCTGCCGTCCCTCTGTTCTTTTTATCCATCACATATTTTTAGTGGATACAGCGTACCGAACTGTGTCACGGTTGAGCTGGAGACTGAACAGCACCTTTGTGTGTGTGTGTGAGGGCAGGGTCTATATTTAGAGTGGTTGATGGCCTGCTTTAGTCAAGAGCTGAGGGGGGTCTGGCTGACTTTAATCATGCTGTTCTTTCTCCGGTTTTTCTGTCCTCCTTCCAGTCACTCCTTTCTCATTCCTGTGACTCTTCTTCGCTGCTCTGCGTTTTCTTTACTTTGGTTTCATCGTTTGTCTCCTTTATTGCCTTTCTGTTCATTGTCGTGTCTGGGTTAAAAGTACAACACATGACGTTTTGATTTCTCTCGAGCAGTGTGTCATAAAGAGAGTTTATCATTAAAGCCTCATAGCCGAAATATAAGTGACCTCTACATGTTCTCTGCGCATCTGTGTGTTTGTCTGAGAGGTTTGGAAAGTAGGGAGTTTAACCAATTAGAAATGATCCTCAGGGGTGAAATCGCTCATACATGAACCGGGTGTGGATGTTAAAAGATAGAACTGCTGTCATCTGAATTAGTAGATTGACTTTAATTTGAGATAAAACATCCACACAAGCTTTTCATCTACTCTACTGTTTAATCTGTTTGGGCTGGGTAAGATTTTTTAAATAAGCCTCTGCCAGGCTGCATTTATTTGATCAAAAATACAGTAAAAAATAGTAATATTGTGAAATATTATTACAATTTAAAATATCTGTTTTCTATTTTTATATATTTCAAAGTGTATTTTATTGCTGTGATGACCAAGCTGAATTTTAAGTATCATTACTCCAGTCACATGATCCTTCAGATATCATTCTAATATGCCGATTATTTCTCAAGAAACATTTATTTGTATTATTATCAATGTTGAAAACAGTTGTGCAGCTTAATATTTTTGTGGAAACAGTTTTACTTTTTTTTTTTTTTTTGATTATATGATGAGTAGAAAGTTTAACAGCATTTAAACTTTAAACTTTTAGAACAGAACAGCATTTATGTGAATTTTTTGGTAACATTATGAATGTCTTTACTTACTTTTGATCAATTTTATGCATCCTTACTTAATAAAAGTAATAATTTCACAGACAGGGAAGGTTGTCCAAAACTATTTTAGTGGGTCAACAAACATACACAAAATACATTTGTCATTATCTAGAGTGAGTTAGTTTATGTTTGTGTGTGTGTAACCCTATAGATAATAATACGTTTGCAGAATGGATGGATGGATAGATAAATGTTTAAAATTGTATTTGCTGAAAATGTTTGAAATGAAACAAGGGTGGAAATGGGGAATCGCATTATGATTTTCTTTTCTTTTTCTTTTTTTTTCTTTTATTTGGAGTAGTGCTAATGACAGCGCTCTTTAAACTAGAAATATTTTGAGAATGAGTTGTAGATTTTTAAACTTTTTAAATATGTAGATAAATATGGGAACTTTATATCAACATCACATAAAAAAAAATTACACAGACCCTGAAGGAATGTGTAACAGCAATCCATGGTCTCCCCTATTTAATAGATTTATGTTTCCTCATAATCATGGATTTCAGACCCCCCGAACTGCGGCACCTGTGTGTGGGAGTCTTATTGTGTGTTTGTGTAAGTGTGAGTGTGTTTGGACTACTCACAGCCCTCACATTGGTATTTATAACAGCTCTTCGTGAAAACTAAACTATACTTGTGCTGTATTTTGTACTCAAACGTCTCTGCTTGCTGACGTCTCTGTCACTCGGTTCATTCTCTTTCTCTCCTGTGTGTGTGTCTGTCTCTCGGCCTTTCAGGGACATGTAGGCCATGTTTGGTTGATGTCGTTCCAGTAAAGAATGAGGAAGGAGTCGTAATCATGTTCATCCTAAACTTCCAGGAGCTTTTAGACCCGTCCACGAAAAAAGGTGGCATCAAACAGCGAATGACACACAGCTGGCTACGGGCAGGTGCGTGTCCCCCCTTTCTCTATGTGTGGGAGAGATTCTGGCCCTTTCTGTAACAGCCTTATAAGGTAAACACATTGACTGCTGTGCTTGGTGTGACGGTCCGTGTGTAGGTGTAGCCAGAGGCAGCATTTGATAAAGGTGGTGTCAAATTTTGGTTGCAGAGTGTTTATGTGTGTGTGTGTGTGTGTGTGTGTGTGTGTATGCCTGGCCCCCAGTGTTGCTTTAACTTTTATATTAGAAAGTATGAGATATTTTGCTGACATAAATAACTATAAATTTAATAATAATAATAGTAATAATAATAATAATAAAGTAAATATACAAGTTTCTTAATGTATGAAGTTCTTTTTATTTGTTTTTACATATATAAATGATTATCATTATATTTAATTATAAATGGACAATTACATTTTTAGAATGAATTAAAAAAATGCATATGCAAATATTAATAGGTTATTAATAATAATAATAATTGTTGTTGTTATTATTAATAAAATATTTCATTATATTTCATAAATATTTCACGTTATATAATGTAGTTTTACATGTATTACTAGTAATGTATATAATGTATAAGCTTTGTTTTTAAATATATGTTTATTATTATTAAATTGTTAACAATACTTTTAAAATATTTTTATTAATCACATATTTTAATAAAAAAAAAATTTTTTTTATAACAATAAAAATCTACAAATAAAATTGAATGTATATAAATAAATAAATATAGTAAAAATAAATGATTATTTTTATTATTAGTAGTAGTAGTAGTATGTTTATTTATCCAATAAATTTGATATTTATCAAATATCAAATGCAACACTCTATTTATTACAGGGAGCATCTTAGGTTGGTAACAATTTATTTACCAGCCCATTTCCACACCTTAGTTATCTAGTATATTCTGTAGGAAAGAAAAATCATGAAAGATCTCCTGTACAGCAATGTATTTAAATGGAGAGAAAATGTCTTCTCCTGCTTCGTAGGTTTTCTTCCAGAGAAAAGGCCCTAGTCATAGGCGGAGGGTGAACCAACTCCAGGGTAACGTTAAGGCTAAAAGCAGCCAAATGTATTAAACATCATAAACCCGTCTTTTTAGGCAAGAACCAGACATGGGTGTCATGTAGGCTAAAAAAAATGTTTCGCTAAGCCTTCCCCAGCCTTACACACGCTCCGCCTATGGCCCTAGTAGTCTCAAATGTGTCTTCCCTAAAGTTTTACAGAGATCTCATCAGTATCTCGCACTGAGTTCAGATCTGTCTGGTATGATTAAAAGGACTTCAAGACCAGAAAGACAAGAACTCACCAGTTATGTCTCCTGAGCTTTGAGCAAAAACATATTCCCCTTGGATTATTTAACCTTATGTTTGTGTATCAGGTCAGAAACGTAAGATGAGTCTGCGAATGCCCTCTCTCCGTGTCAAGCGGCAGCCGTCCCTCTCTAAGGACCACTTTGAGGGAGTGGTGGTGGACTACCTACAGGTACATGTGTGCATATGTGACACACATCTGAGTTCATATTGCCACAGACACATCATCTACAGCTCCCCTCTGTGTCCTGCAGCCCTCTCATGAGGAGGTGGCTTTGAAAGACCTCCAGATGTCTCCAGACAGCTGTTTGAAATCAGAGACCCAGGCCCTGATTCAGCAGACCCCCTCCACATGCAGCTTCTCATCCCCACTCACACGGCCCTCAGACCGGCTAGAGCCCAGCGGACCCCCTCTCAAACACAGCCACTCCAGAGAGAGCGTGCGCAGCCTGCGCCGGGCCTCCTCGCTGCACGACATCGACGGCATGAGGGACCAGTGGAGCGGTATGAGTGTTTGTGCTTGCACTCCTCTAGTTCCTAGTGTAAACAACATACTGTCACAAACATTGACTGTGTGCAAAACTTTATTATTTATACATGATCAGACAGTACTACTAAGGCAAGTTTGAGTCTAGTGTCGGTGTAACATCCTGTCTTTGTGTGGTTTGCTGGTTGATTGAAAAATAAAGATGACATCTCACCCTAGTAAAAAAGTAATATATTTAAAATACATTTATTTCATACATGAATTATTTGAACATATAGTTCAAATCTATTAACATATTTACTGACATATCGCTCGAGACTTATTGATATAAAAATTATAATTCAACTTTATTTGGAGTACTACTTGTGTTCACTGCACATTTCTTAATATTAAGCCTAAAATTAGACTTCAGCACTAGTTCCGCTCAATTATAGTGCAAGTACAAAATTAGCTGTTCCAGTTTAGCAGACTTAAAATATACCAGTTTAGTATACCAAAAGTACAATTGCAGAGTGTTTTTTATTAAGTACATAAATATTTAAATGTATTTGTAGTATACTTAGCATGAAATAAATATATTTGAGTATATTTATTTTTCACTAGGGATATCACAGATAAAAGAAGTTTATTTCGCTTTTTTTTATTCAACTTGTGATTCTCTGTTTACCAAGTAATAGTCATCAAATATACTCTTGTATCCCTAAAACTCACTCACATTTGTTCTAGATCATCAGATGTTTTGTAATGGTGATATAAAACGCTTAACATGGGTTCATGTATAAAATGACCAAGACAGTACTTGTAATAAACATTTAGTGCAAACAAAGCCATAATTCACGAAAAAAAGTTATTTTACATGAGGTTTTCCATAGAAATCCTTTAAAAGGAAGTGCTTTAAAATTGTAACTATCAAAACACAGAATTTCTCTTAAACCTGAGTTTGTCTACAAGTAAAAGAAGGATGCTATAATCAAAAGACAAAGCACATTCTCCCTCATAGAAATACATTATAATGTAAGGGTTTAACATAGAAATATTGTTGGATTCATTTTTTGGCAGAAAAGAATATTTATTAAAAGGAACAAAGCCATAATTCACGAAAAAAAAGTTATTTTACATGAGGTTTTCCATAGAAATCCTTTAAAAGGAAGTGCTTTAAAATTGCAACTATCAAAACACAGAATTTCTCTTAAACCTGAGTTTGTCTACAAGTAAAAGAAGGATGCTATAATCAAAAGACAAAGCACATTCTCCCTCATAGAAATACATTATAATGTAAGGGTTTAACATAGAAATATTGTTGGATTCATTTTTTGGCAGAAAAGAATATTTATTAAAAGGAAAATCTCATTTTCACATCTTTATACTGTAAAGAAAGATTTTTTTTTTTTTGCAAGGATGCTTTATTGATTGAAATTGATAAAAAGTGACAGTATACCGTTTATCAAAGAATCCTGAAAAAGTGTATCAGCACAACTGTTTTCAACACTGATAACAATAAGAAATGTTTCTTTAAGCACCAGATCAGCATATTAGAATGATCGCTGAAGCATCATGTGACATTGAAGACTGAAAATTCAGTTTTTTTATCTTTTTACATTTTAAAGGGGTCATATGATGCGATTTCAAGTTTTCCTTTCTCTTTGGAGTGTTACAAGCTGATTTTTGAGAGAGGCGGGGCATAGAGAACCTACAATAATGTACAGTATTTGAAAAATAATGTGTTTTTTGAACATTAAAGCATGTCAACATATTCTGTTACACCAAATACACAAAATAATGATCTTTAAAAAAGCATCATATGACCCCTTTAAAATATATTAATAGAAAACATTATTTTAAATTGTAATAATAAATATAAAAGAGATATAAAGATATAAGAGATAGAGTCATATTGTGTGATATAAATTAGTAATTCATTTTAAGAAATGAACTTAAAAGTAAAGCTAAAGCTATAATTTCGATGGAATTCCAACTTCCATGGTTTGACTTTCCAATGTGGCGCAAAATATTCGGTCTTCCATAGATACTGTGTCAGTATATTAACCAACTTGAGCTGTTTCCCTATAACCGCCTTCTACAGTGGAGAAACACATAAACGTTATTGTCTGTATCCTTGGAGGAATTGTTAGTGAATCTTGGTTCTTTCTTGTTCTTGGTGGGACCGACTTTGTTAGTCACGTCATATGTCTGACTGAGCATTTAGATATGTGAAATATGAGCGGGGGCCCCCAGCCGGGATGGAGCGGAATGGATACTTGTCAGCTTAATACTGCACGCGGCCCCGTTTGATTGTCTCTCTGGTCTCTGCTGTGATTAAACTCATCCATTAGCATTGAACAGGAGTACCATGGCCGAGTACAGGATGTGCTTTCAATGGAAATGAAGTGTTATATTTGAATTTATCCTTGATTACATAATAAGTCTGATTAAAACCTATTAGCCTAAAATAGCAAAGCATTTAATATAAATGAGCTAGTATCCTTTTCTAATGGAGTTTGTGGAACAACTCCAAAAAGCAGCACAAAGCGCTCCATTCGGACATGTTAAATTGCAACATTTAAGTCTCTGGGTGTTCAGAATAAGGCTTGTTGGTTCCCCGGTGAAATGGTCACATGTGGCGGCCTGACAGGCCTATTTCTGTAGCTGTATTCCTAATCAATGCTTTACCCACAGCCACCCCTGATGTGCCCGCCGCTATGCATGTGTGTGCTCTAAGCATGAGCATATGACTCATAGGTCTAAATTAACACTTTTTAATTATTGCATACACAAACTGTGATATTACTGGCACTGTAATTGGCAGACGCATGCAGGATGGTAGTGCAAGTCACATGGCATGACATTGTTTTAATCAAACGCTGTAATGATGTGTTTTGATGGCTGATTTAATTGGTGTGATTTTTATTTTTCAGATCTGAAGCCCAGTCACTTGAACTCCACCTCAGACTCTGATTTGATGCGGCACCGCATCCCTCAGGTGACGATATCCTTCGGCTCAGACCGTCTCAGACCACCTTCCCCCACAGAGATCGAGATCATAGCGCCCAGCAAGATTAAAGACCGCACACAGAACGTCTCGGAAAAGGTCACTCAAGTCACGCAGGTAATATAAAAAGTACTTGACAGCTCATCCTCGTATTTCATGCAAGTGTATATACCAGATTCAGGATATTGTTCCTTAGCTTTTTGTTCACTTAATGAGGCCTAGAGATTTTGTCATTTAACCCTGTTTATTTATGGTGTTGTCAATATACAACTTGAGATTTTAAAAAATCCAAATAATTGTAGATTGTAGAAACTTCAGTAAGGTACAACTTAAAGGGATAGTTCACCCAAAAATTTAAATGTAATGTTTATCTGCTTACCCCCAGGGCATCCAAGATGTAGGTGACTTTGTTTCTTCAGTAGAACACAAACGGAGATTTTTAACTGCATTTGCAGTCTGTCAGTCCTATAATGTCAGTGGATGGGAATCACGGCTTTGAGAGTCATAAAACATACACAAACAAAACCAAATTAAACCCTGACACTAAAATGACTGACAGACTGCAACGGTTTGAGTTAAAAATCTTCGTTTGTGTTCTACTGAAGAAAC